GAATGTTTCTTACCTGAGTTACTCTTCTTGTTCAAAAAAGTGCAGACATCAGTCTTAAACCTTTGAAAGAATATAACATTGCTTTTGTCAATATAACAGGAATTGTTATCTAGAACTCAACTGTATTATTCAAATTCTTCCTTACCTTTCTACCACATTTTCATCTGGAATTTCTTTTCCAACACATTTGATCTTGCGATAAAGTATCCCATGGTCAAAGAGCTCCTTTACCAATAAATGAAGAATGAACCAGTTACTATTTCGGTTGAAATTATATTGCCTAACATCAAGGCATGTTTCATTGATAATTTCTTTTAAACTGAAGTCCACTGCAATAACCATTAAGTTATTGTTCCTCCCACATGGCTGCTGGTTTGAACATACTTGAAAAGTACAGGCTAAAACCATTCTTTGATCTACATACCTTGGAATTATAGTATCTGTAAGTGTTGGTGAAGTCCACAACCATTCCAAGTTTTATATGTTTTTGGCTGAGGTGATTCACAAGATCCATTGGTGTAAACCTTAAAAAGATTGAAAAGTGCAGTTTTTTAAATGCGTGTGATGAAATGAATGTTGATGGAAATTTCAAGAAATTAGCATCTACATATCTAGTAAATAACAACATAACTACCTTTCATATGTTTTGATTCCATTGTCTTGATCACTTTCATTGTCATATTGCTGCAACAAGATGGCATTTCTAAGTATTATGGATCAAGTGATATAGTATTTATGTCTACAAATTCAAAAACCTGTCAGTTCTACAGCTTGGTTATTTGGATAAGGTAGTCCTGAGAAGGATGGCAGTTGGTGATTGTTTTCAGTACTGATACAAGGGATACACAACATGAGGGATACTTCATATCAATTATCAACTAATAAGAAAAATCCAGGTCCCCAGATGGGATTTGAACCCACCACCCTCCTTGATCTAGTCGGATGCTCTAACCACTGAGCTACTGGAGACTCTATGGTGAGCAAGAGTCAATTTGTGGGTATCGACTGGAACCGCATCGCACGGCTACACAGCCAAGTTTAGATCAGCGCATGTGAAAGTTGAAAGTTTCAAAAGTTGAAAGTCTCAACTAACAAGCTGTTAATCATTTAAATATTTATGCATGATTTCCACCTTACATGTGACAAAGGTGTCTTAAATGCAATAATCTTTTCTCCTTCTATGGGTACCCCACAAGGTTTATAGTCTCTCCACCTGTCACGAAACAGAACAAACTCATTGTTAATTGTTGCTTACAATCTTAAAAGTTCCAAACAAATCCATAGAGTTTTAAAAAGGTTTAAAATATGTCAAACAAATTTGAGCATTAGCACTACATGTGGACAAGAAAATGCCATTCATGTTAGACCATTTGGATTGTTAAAAGAGGAAAGTTTCTAAAGAAACAGTGTTGCTGCATTGGTGGGGGTGGGGTTGGTGGGGAGGGTATTACAGGATAATTTGGTTTTATTAACTCAGTTGATAATGTAAACTGGCCACCCTAAAGAAGTTTTAATGCAGACATTTCGAGTAGCAATATGCTACTTATCAGAGAAATATGAGGATAGTTATCATGTCAACAATTGTGTGGCATAGAGCTCCAGTTTACTGAAAAATCATGATAAATTTTACCTAAAATTCATTCCTTCTAATATCCAGATGGTTGTATGGTATCTAAATACACACAAATTTTACACAGGCATGGCACCATTTCATTTTATGACGACGATGACGTTCTTAGGCCTTTTACACCCTAGCATCGGTATGCATATTCTCCATACTGTTCCCTACACATTTTCTAAGGTGCGGACGAGGAGAATGTATTCAGCAATCAGGAGCTTCTACATTTTGTGATCAATTCCTCTATTCTCGTAACCATATGTTTGATTCAGGGGTGAAAGTCTGGATATACACTTAATCAATCGAAGGTATGTGAAGTACACCTCACTGATAACCCACTTGGTCAAATGAATAAGGGCTGAAAGTTTCTAATGAAACTGTGGTGCTGCGTCGGTGGGGGTAACAAGGTAATTTGGTTACATCAACTAAGTTGAAATTGTAAATTGGCCACCGTAACGAATAAAAAAGCTGACGCTTCGAGCGTTAGCCCTTCGTCAGAGCGAATGGAGGAATTGTGGGTTGTATGTGGTCAAAGTTCCTTCCAATCTACGGAGGCTTTTAAAAGATGTACTTACTTATCAGGTATCCTTTTGTCAATAACTACTTCTGTATTCATTTTCCTGCAAAACCGAAGAGAATTTAACGATAAAAGGCTTTCTAAATACACAAATCCCGGAAGATGTAGTGAAAATCGAAACATCGCTGAAAACGAGAAGGAATGGGAACAAAGCGAACGTGAAGAAATGCCCAGCGGCTTCTATATTTGGTACATGCCAACTAAAGCTGATCTCCAATCTTCTATGGACCTCACGGTTAATCATCTCTTCGAGTGTGAGGCTTGTTCGCCGTTCTTAATCTTATTCTTAAAGTACACACCGACAACTTGTACCAATCAAAGAAGAGAATAAAGATGCAAAGAGCACCTCAGCCAAGCTGTTTTGACCGGGTTAAGATTGGCTTCATGATCGGATTTGCTATTGGAATGAGCTCTGCTGCACTGTTTGGAACCTATTCTGCGTTCAAGTGAGATGCTTGATTTTACTACAGCTTTTGGAACTATAGCGTTATTAGTACCTCAACCTATTTTAAGCGGAATTCTGTCACTTTATTTTTCTGGAGCCAAACTTGTCGTCTATTCATATGGAAATCACAGCCCACTTACTGAGATGAAAAAGAAGTAACTTTTAAGGTTCATCTCAGTTTTAGTGTTCACATGGAAATATTTTATGTAAACTTTTCTGTGATCCTGGATAGAATTTTAAGAAACTTTCATTGCCATGCCCCTCCTCAAAGTAATGACAAAGTGTGTGAACACCAAAATGTGTTCATATTGAGGTAAGAGTGAACAATAGCTCCCGTGATCGGCTGTCGGTAACCCTTTGGCCAACACATTACCGACAGCCGGCCGAACGACACTTTAGTCTGCAACATAACGAAAACTGTTGGCTGACTGACGGTCGTCTGTCGGCCAACTGTTGGCTGACAGTCAGCCATCTGTCGGGCTACTGTCGGCCAACAGACGGCTGACCGTCGGCCGACAGTAGCTCTTGGGCACTGTTCTTCACTTTTACCCATATTGACATAAAAAATTAGGAGGAGGGGGAGGGTTGGGTAGGTTTGTATGGGAGGAGAGGTTGGGTTGGGTTGTTCAGCAGGGGGGAGGGTTGGGAAGGGTTGTGCAGGAGGGAGAGAGCTAGGCAGGATTGTACAGGGGGGGAAGGGTTGGGTAGGGTCATATAGAGGGGGTGGGTTGGGTAGGGTTGTACAATTGTTCAATTATTTTGTCTTAGGTCACAGCCTGGTAAGGGAGAAAACTGGTGAGGCAGCAACCAAAACTTTGACCTCAGTAGACAGGCTGGCTAGCCTTGCAACATTATCCTCTTACTTTTATGACAAAGAAAATTATTGTGAGACAAGATTTTAGTAACTGAAGTCATCTGCATGGATGACCATGTTTATAAGCAGAGGTTCCACTAGTTAAAGAATTACTCTCTGGATGGAATGCTAGAAAACCACAAGAAACACCACAGCAAACTTGAAAACCTGACACTTGTTCTTTTCCACCAGATATGGATTGAGAGGAAGAGAGTTAATCAGTAGTGTTGGAAAGATCATGCTTCAGGGAGGAGGAACATTTGGGGTCTTCATGTCTGTTGGCACAGCTATCAGATGTTGATTGCTAAGAAAGTGTGATTTTTTTATTTTGTACTGAACACCAGATATTGCCAAGGTCAGGATATTATCATGAGAGAGATGTTGACAAACTTTCAACCCAGTCTGTGCTATCAATGTTTATAATGCATAGGACACTGAATCCTGTAATATATTATGACAAGTTCAGCAGAGAACTAAGGGAAATAGATGGAAATAAAATGTTGCTCATGAAATAGGGAAAGTAAAATCATATCATTGTTTCAATTTTGTTAGTGTCAATTTCAGATTTGTTTAATCTTTTCTTGTTGAATTTTTGTTGTATATGTGGCAATTGTAGTTTAATAATAATAATAGAAAAAAAAAATAAAAACTTTATTTATCCTGGTGAGAAACTGGTCAATCGATCAAGATGTAGATCGACTGGTATTAATCGGTGACCAGTTAAAAAGAATTACAAGCAATAAGAATTACAATTACAAATCTTAAAATGTATAAATTATATATAAAAATTACATTTAACTTGTACAAATATGATTTACGCTGTCCATGTTTACGAGGTAAGTGAAAGTTCTGCCTTTAAATTGTGCGAGTGTTGTGAGCTCATGAATCTCTCTTGGCAGTTTGTTCCAGGATTTAAGGATTTACAATCTTCACCCATTACACTGCGACATCAGTATGTATATTTTGCATACTCTTCTCCATACAATCCCTAAAGTGCAGCAAAGGAGCATTTGTTTGACAAGCCAGAGCTTCTTTAGTTGGCTATCATTTGCTTTATTCTTGTGACCTTAATGTGTGATTCAGGGAAGATATTGTATCAGATGCTAGTGACTGTGAGGGGTGAAAGTGATAATTGCAGTGGAGGTCTAGTCTTTTTTAAAGAAGATACATTAAAGCTTTTTAGTTTTCCAAGGAAAAATGGGTGGCATGAAAATCAGGATTCTAAATTATATCTTCAAAGCAGTTGAAAACAAAATGGTGACATCTTGACAAAAGAGAAAATGGTAATTGCATTCAAAATGATGAGGATGGATAAGATTGAATTAATTATTTTTGGATTTCAAGCAGCAGTAATGATTTCAGATAACTTTAATGTATATCTGTATTTGAATATTAATTTTGCTGTTGGAAACTTCAAAACAGTAATGTCGATTTGCTAAAGGTGTTGATTCATAAACCTCTCCTTTAGCTTTGGTCTACATCCTATGCATTGGTGTAAAAAAGAAGTAGTGCTTGAAGTGCTCTTTATATTGGTTCGTTATAACGGAAAAGTTAACTGATACCTCTTTGGTAGTGAACTTTCCCCTCCCTTACCCCCTCCCCTGTGCTTCAAAGCGTGCACACACCCCTTAGAACTGATTATTGTCATACTATTCACCGTATTTATTATTAGTATTTATTTACGTATTTATTATTTATTATTATTATTTATAAAATATATGATTTTCATATGTTTATTCTATCTCATTTATCACTTTCACGGGTTCATTACGAATCAACTTAACGGCCTGCTCTCAGTTGGCTTGTTAGCTCAATTGGTAGAGCGCTGCACTAGTATCGCAGAGTTCAGTGGTTCGAGTCCCGTACAGGCCTGATTTTTTTCAGGTCTGATTTTCGCTATTGCTTAAATAGCGCTATCTACTGCGAGGATCGTGCCTCATACGTATCAAATACCGCAGTTCAAAATATATGATTTTCATATATTTATTCTATCTCATTAGTTACTTTGTTATTTAAAACCAAGTATTTCACAGCACTTGGGGTGGTTGTGTCGCAGTTAGCTATGTAGCCTTAGCAATTTAAACAGTCCGCCTTAACTGTTTTGGATACAATTCTAATAGCATCAACCTGTTTCAGTTCCTTTCATTCTTCACACGTAATCATCTAAACTGTAAACGCTTTGACAAATCTTTTAGCAGGCCAGTGCTACAGTATGTCAGCAGCGGCTCTCTTTGTAAATACTCCACTAGTTTTACATTTTTTATCCAACTTTTTATTCAATACACCGAACATTAGCGGCAATAGCGACATTTTTCCGTTGGTATAACTATTTAGTATCCAAAAAAACTTGCAATGCTACATGGTTTGAGTGTGAAAAAAAATTCTGAAAATATGAAAAATAGAAAAATCCATCCATTATGGAGTAACCTTTCTCTGTTTCGCGGCGTCTTCTTGCCACAATGAATGGTAATTAGACAAGGATTTTCTTTGGAGCTCTTCAAAGCCAAAAAAGGCGCTGATTTTTATCTGAGTCACTGTCAGTATTATGATAATTGTAGTGCAGCCTTGTACGATAAACCTGACGAAAAATAAACTGTTTACCTTCCACGTTGTAATTATTGCGAGGTGCAGCTGTGTACATGTAAAAACTTTTTTTATGTTAATTTGCGGAATGAGTTTAAACCAGTCTTTAGCGGAACGTTGCAATAATTAGGAAGATGGATGCAGTATGGCTCCGAGTTGAAGGCACAATGATGAATGAAGTAAAATGGAAGAATTTACGAAAACTTGTCTTGTTGTTCAGAAAAATAACCTTGGCACTGCCATTTTGATGTTTTCCCTAGATCTTTGTAATAATTTTCATGTCAAATTTGCTGTCATGTATTTCATTTCGTGTTACTGGTGTCACGTACACTTCGCTTTTTTCCTTGTACGACTCGATGGAAATTTGTTATAGTCGTTATTTATAGGCTTGAGTTTTGGAACAATGTGTTACAAAATTTCAATTTTTGTGAGCTTGGTGATAATTTCTTTTAATTTGTGGTTCAAAGAAATTCGCAATAGACTAAAAAGAAAAAATAATTATGTTAGCGCCTAGAGGTGAAACTCAATACAGACATAGTTTAAAGTCCATACCAAAATAGAACGGTAAAACAATTCTGCATGGAGCTATTCTTTTCTAAGAGAAATATTCAGCAAAGTGATTTTGCAATATATTTTAGAGATGGCAGGACTGCACATGAAAACATGGTTTACACGTGAATTGTTCAAGAGCTCTAAAACTGGGTGACACGAAAAAAACAAAAAAAAACTAATCGATATTATTTTAGTGTATTGTTGCTTCCATGAATCAGGGAAGGGTTTTCTCTGATTAAGCGTATGGGGGCTTTTTAAGCTTTGAAATGAAGGGGAAGTTAAAGGAAAAGAAATGAAATATGGGCTTTTAAAGTGTTTTTTCAGGCACGGATGGTCACCAGGTGGCTATTGAGGTCTATTTATAGTACAGCGCACTTGAAATGCCCATCCGGTCATTGTACTGGACTGGCATCGATTCATCACCCAGAGACCACCTCTTCACTCTTTCCCGCTCAGATCGAGTTCAATTTTTTGTTAAAGTAAAAGAAATCGGTGTGTCTCATATCATCTTTCTGAATTTAAACTCTCGCTTTCTTTATCTCCGTGTACACCTGTTTTGATGGAAGGGTGAATCGACGCGAGACTCTTTTCTATTTGAAAAAGTGTAGTTAACGACATATTATAGAGCTCGAAGTTATGAACCACAATTAATTTCTTTTCTATATTGACCACTAATTCATATCTTAAGGTGAAGTTTTTGAAATACAAAATATGCTTGTGACATTTAAAAATCGTGCCGATATTGTACGAGCAGTTGTTGCTCAAGTTTGTTGGCGAATTTTAGACGTGTTGTGTTTTTGTGTTTTATAATATTCCTTTTTTTTTTTCATTTGACAGCGAATTCAAAGATCACTCAATTTTCCTCGGCCGAGATCGTTACCAAGATTTCTCCCTCCCAGAATCAACAGAAAACAACTCATTACGTGTAAGTTGAACGAAAGAAAACCTTTCCTTTATTTTAAGGGCGTTCATAGCTAATTATGGCTTCTTTTATTCCCCCCGGATTGGTTTAAAATTTACATATTTAGCTTTTTAATTCTGTATTGACTTCCATCGTCTTCGTCAAGAAGTCTACCCTTGTGACAGGTTGTTTCGGCGGCAAATTGTAGGTAGAAAATGTTTCTGAAATTTTTCTTTGGAATTAGGAATTTTCTATTTCCGGTGGATTAGCGCGCGGATGAACTGGGCATGAAGTTTGTTATTATCAACAAAGATGGTAGATCAGGCACTGACTAGATGCCGAACAGTTAAACTTATTTTATTACAATGTAGATCTTTATAGTCGAACCAGTCCAGTGGCAGACGTTATACAACCAAGATATGCTTTTTCTTCCAATCTGTTATGCTTTTGAAGGTAGAAAGCAGCGCAGCCTAGTTCTTTTTGAAGGGCTATGAATTTCAGCTCGTCTTCGGCAGCCGGTAGCAACGATGGCATCAACAACTCTTTCCAAAGACTCTCTGTTACTCAAATCGCCCCAACGGACATCAAAAAGAATATTTGGACTCTCAAAAAGGTGTTCAAAAGTGTAAGTTTGACCAGAAATTCGTGCTTGAAACCTCAGCATGATCCCGGCAGCTTTAGCCATTTTGAGCAAGGTGTTCCTTTGTGCGAGATTTTTACTGATATCGGCCAGAAATTTCTTGATCGCTCAAAGATTGTTTTGGCGAGAGAGTGCCTGGTACACGTTGAATCTTCCGCTAAGTTTGTTCAAGAGCTGGAAGAAACAGTGGAAGAGTATATGGCCTATTTTGAGGGTGAAAAGCCAGTTCCAAGCGAGTTCCCATTCAAAGTTGAAAGATTTCACGACATTTGCCATGCAGCAAAAACACAATGTATGTACCGACTGGCGATAAGAAAACTTATCTTTTCCGATCCATGGCTTCGCAAATGTGCGCCAGACATGCTGGAGGACTTGGAAGTGGTGAATAAAGCGCTTTCGAAATTAGCAGACACGAGTATATCGCTCATTTCAATTATTTTATCCTGCGTGTTGCGCCTTGCCGAAAAATGCAAATGGTGGTTGACTCAGCAAGGTTTAAGTGCTGTTTGCCAGGGAATTGAAGATTTCAATCGCCTTTTTGAGTACACTAGAAATTTTCAGAGCGACGAAAGAAAACTTTTAAGTGTGAACGAGGCAAGAAATTTTGTGCAATCGAAGGGTCGCGAAAGAGCATTTTCAACTACAGCTGTTGGTGATGTTTGTTTATTGTCATTGAACAAACTTTTGAATGGCGTTGCTTGTGAACGTTCAAGAATTTTGGCCGGTCACGTTTACGAATTTGTAAGCGGACATCAGGAGGTTACTCGGACGTTAAAGTATGACTTTGCCACAAACTTCGAATGGAAAGACTTTGGGGTGGTATGCACCGGAGGGAATGTCAGGCTCGAGGGAACTACACTGAAGAACGGAGTGTTGTCAGTTTTAAGCCGCAACCAAATCCCACTTCTAAAACTCGAGCCAGGCTCTCCGATGCTTTCATTTGATTCAGAGGACCAGAAATTTTTCAGTAATTTGATATCACAACTTGCTACCTCAACAACACTTATCTTAGGCCACCATGTTGGTGGTGAGAGGAAAAATGTGATTCAGTTGCCACCATTAGAGCTGCTGACCTTAAGTTCAAGGAGTGAAGATGCTGAACTACAGGGGAAATCAACAGCTGAGGAGGCTGGAGGGTCAACAAGTTCATCATTGCACCACCAGGAGGGTCATGGCATTCTGAAGCACAGCTCAAGTCCAGGATCACCCAGACTTAACAAGCGCGTTCAGTGGAACGCACCACTAGACTCTGAAACAACAAAGCAGTTACATTCTAATTATAACACAATGCTTTGGGCCAGTTTTGGAGAGCAGTTGGTGGCCCTCATGGGAGAAAATCGAGAATCTCTAGCCAACTTGATGCAAAATGTGGTCTTGGGTCCATTGTTTTTGTGGTCTGATTTTCTTTTGATGGTTGTTGTTCGCATGATGGAGTCACTACGTCTGTCAGGTGAGTTTGAAAGAGAACAATTGGACAACTGAGAAGTAAAAGGTTTGAGTGATAATGAAATTGACAAAGTAGCTGAAAAAAAACAAAAACAAAAACAAAATTCTTCCTTTACAAGTAGGTTTTCCAGAATACAAAAATACAAACTGTTTAGTTATCTCAAATAAAGAAATGATTAATTTTTGTCTGAAATTTATTCAATTAGACACAAATGTGTGATAAATCTAAGAAATGGTAAAATGTCTCCTAAACCATTACAGTATTCCAAACCTTTTACTTTCATTTTTCTGTGTAAGTAATAAGCCAAAGCTTAGAACGCTGTGCATCTACAGACTCATTAGTCTCTTCTTTCACAATTTTTTGCAGGATTGCTTGAATAAGTCGACTTCATCTTAACTTGAAAGATGATTTTGGTTTATGGTAGATGAATTTCTCATTTAAGAGAACCCCTAAGATATTCTGTTTTCCTTCTAGAGGAAAAGATCAATTTTGTTTTGGTTACTTCCTTCTATCTAAGTATAAAACCATTCAAAACTTCATGTAATCATAATTAATAAAGCACTGTGTTAAAAATCCACATCTATGCCAATGTAAATCCAATCATGTATGTTTTGTTGAGTGATATCTATCACATCAGCTATCACCACATTTGTAAAATTTACATTTGTGGTCAAAACCCTAATTGATCAGTGAGGAGATTTTGTTCCCTGATTTTCTTGTAGTTAAGATTTGTCCGCAATTTATGAATTATTATTATTTTTTTGTCTACAAAATACACCATGAATAATTCAATTTTCTATTGGGATTATTTAAATTTCTAATTTTGAATGTAAATTAATTGATTTGAGATAAATAACAATTTTAATCTAGAGTAACATGAACATTTTTTATTCATCATCTTTGTGTGAGAAGATGTTATTTGATACACAAGCTGTAATGACAGAAATTTATTTGATCTGAGGAAATTCTGCTTTGTGTGAAGTGGGAATAAAGTATTACTTTTTATAGCCCTGAGGATAGGTCTTTATTTATATTGAGCAATGATCTATTAATTTATATTGCAATATCATTGCAAAAATTTGCTGATTCACCTTTAATAATGAATGCCTTATTTACAAAGTTGCATGATCAATTGAAAGTCATTTCTGAAAATTATGGTCTACAAGTACCTTTTCTGCAAACTAGGCTTGAAGTTTAATGTGATCACATTAAATTAATTCTTTAATGTAACTAGATTTTAATTTTATTTTCCCTTGATTTTGATGTGGTAGATTTGTTTTCTTTTACTTTTTTGTCAATGTGTGTTATTTATACAGCCTCTCTTGGTTCCATCAGTGGAGCTAAAAATTTTAATTCAATTTATTGTCAGATCGTAATTCCAAGAGCTGTTGTTAAACAGCTGGTTATACAGTGCAACTAAGCAAAATCTTCTTCTTATGAATGAAATTATTCTTTTGGATAGGTCCTGGTCAAACCATGACTGCTGCCTGTCTAAATGTATCTGCAGAGGGAAAGTTAAGACATTTCCTATAAGCAGTCCTGAGCAACAAAATCTTTTCTGTCTTTTTCACAAATGATTCTTTAAATTGTATTTATAAATGATTTAACATGCTGTACACAGGTTGTTTCACTTATCTTAAAGTGCACTAGACATGGATTTAGAAAGCCAAATATAGATTTTAAAGATATATGGTTGTTGTTTTTTGTTTTGTTCTCAGGTTGTTTGCCACCAGCGGGTAGTAGTTCTCTTCAAGCTGTAAGCTGTTATCTTCATTGTCTGGCCTCTGCATCAAGCTGGGATTCAGGTCATATTAATTAATCCAGATCTGCTAATCTTCTCTGTGTGTGTACACATTGTCCTAAAAGTTTCCCCATAAAATTAGTGATACTCTATTTACACTTTGGAAAGGCCACATTTTTTATTGAATAAATGGGTAAATACTGTATTAGTTTTTCTATGTTATATGCCTCTTTGTAGCCTACATGATTAAATTAGTGATAGCCCTGACGCTCCTCAAATCTATTTTGACTTATTCATTACCAAGTTTTATTCCATCCAAAAATAATTGCAACGTGCACAACTTTATACAACTTTCTTTCCTTACCTCCRCCTCCCGGTTAGCTCAATGGATAGAGCGCTGGACTGTAGTGTGGGAGGTCGAGGGTTCGAGCCCCGGCCGGACCAACACTCAAGGTCTTAAAATAATTGAGAAGAATTTGCTACCTTTCTATAACATCAAGAAATGGTTAGATATTCTAGTCTTCTCCGATAGGGATGAATAAATGGAGGTCCCGTCTCCTGCAGGGTTAGGGCAGGAGACGTTAATTTCCCACACACGAGATTACTGTGTGATGGATGTCCTCCCCTGGGGTGGGATGGGTGGGTTAGGACAGCAGGTCCACATACAGCTGCCAAATTAATCAACCTGCTTAAACAAATAAATGAACTTCAAGTTCAACTTCAACCTTGAATTTTGCTGTGACCAGTTCTGAAGATATTTCATTCCTTTTTCATTAGCTTTTTGTAAAGTTCTTGGTACCTCTTTATCTGACAAGTGCCGCATGGATAGTGAACCTACAGACAGCGTCCCAAGCACCCAGACAGTACAGTCAATAGTTAGTCTCTTGGATCCACTTGAAAGCATTTTTGAAATGGCAGGTTATTGGAAACGATCATCCAGCCACCTGGAACCTCATGCTAATAGAACTGCGAGAGCTCTAACACTGTCAGTTTTTCCCAGTCTGTGTCGTTTTCATTCATTGGTGTCCTTTGGTTTTCACTGGTTTGATACCAAAATACATCATTTTTTGTCCTTATGGTCCCTTGAGCAGTTTCTGCTTCTGACACAGTGGGACTTACCACTTTTTCTGCAGTCGTTGAAGAAGACATTTTTCCTTGTACAGTCATTAAATACTGCTCACAGTGATAGCACTAGTTGGAACTCCCTTTCTGTGCAGTACAGTCTCTTAGAGGAACAGAGAAGCAACTTGGAGGTTAGTTTATGTCATTTTCTTCAACACGAAGTCCTTTTCTTCAACATGAAGTGTCATAAATGTTGTCCATTTTCAATGCTTTCTTCATTTGAAAGATTTGAAAATAAATTATACAATTATTTTGGTTTAAAACTTCTTATATCCCTTGATGTTGAATACATTCTAACAATGAGAGAACTAAGCAATTGGTTATAGTACTCACATGTGATTGTCATGAGTCACCATCTTAGAGTGTCTTGCTAAGTCTGCCTGTAGGTGTTTTTGTGACAAGTCAATTCACTTGAGAATGTTTGCAGTTGTGAGGTGCAAGTTTTTTTTATACTCCTCACCAAGTACTGGTAGTTGCATGTATTTTGATTGTGATGTGCTTTTAGCTGAACCTATGATTTTGCTGTTTATTAGGGTTTATTGAAGAAGTCATGGGTTCTTTTCTCAAGAGATTTGACGAAGATGTCAACAGAATTCTTTCAGGAGGCCATGCCAGTTGGTAAGAGCTGGAAGAAGAGTCGCCATTCAGGTAAGTTGAATTATTAACAAGTTTATAACATATCACCAGGTTGAATTGCTTCCTTCCTTTGAAAACTAAGATCACCTTCCATTGGGATTAATTGTTAAAACCACAACCAAATTTGGCTGAAGGCGTCAGAATCCCCCAAAAGAATGCTTTCTAATGTTATTCATTTGAAACACTGTAAATCATGGGAAAAGTTGTGATCAGACTTCTAAACATTCATAAGTTGAAGGAAAACAACATGGTGGCCCATTGTAGTCTTTTCATGTGATTCCTTCCACTTTTTGCCGACTTGCATGCTTATGAATCCTTCTACTTTGTGTGAAGTGAAGTGAAGTGAACACTTTATTCAAACACGATGGAGTATTCAGCAAAGCTGGTGGGGTTGTGTATTTACAAATAAAAATAAGTATTAAAATTTAATTATGAACCTAGAATTATGTTTAGATAATATGTTTAGATAAGACTGTGAATTTAAAATCCTAAAAATAAATATAATTATCGTCTTTATACTTGATTAAAGAAGCAATTGAATTGAAATTTATTTTTCTAGTGTCAAATTTTGAAAGTAGACGCTTAAATTGGTTTAAGTTATTTGCTGCTGATTCTTTGCTGGAAAGGCTATTCCTAGTTATTGCTCCCCTACATTTGATGGAGCTCCTCATAAAAATTTGTCTCTGGGCTTGGGAGAACAATTTTTTCGTTCCTTCTACTTTCACGGCTTGAGTTCCTCTGGACAAATAGGTCCTTAAGTTCTGTGCATGGTTCGTACAATCTTGAAAAAGTCTTGAATTTTAACGGTCATCTTGAAAAGTCCTTGAATTTGGTCAAGTCCTTGAAAAGTAATCGATTTCTTTAGTAGGTCATGAAAAGTCCTTGAAATTTAGCAATTTCTGTGCACCTTATCGCTTTTCTGATAAATTAAATGATTTTGCTATGGAAAATTTGTCCACTAGTAACTACCAAAAAGCGAAAATGGTCGGTATAAATGTGATTGGTACATGAAGCAAAGTTGGATGTGTGCCTCAATTTTATGCGCAAGGCCTCCGATGTGGGGTAGTCTGCCATGTGCTTTTGTTTTAAGGGGCAACGTAAACATGTAGTGGTTTGGCTATGTTTTGGTTGATGAATTTTTCATTTCCCTTTGTTTTCGATTTAATTGAGCAATGGGAAAATGTCTATTCAATCTTAAATGGTTTAGATTTATGATTAAAACTTAGCCCTTGAAAACCATTTTTTGTCCTTGAAAAGTCCTTGAATTTTGCTTTTCTGAAGTTGTGCGAACCATGTCTGTGGTGTTGTATCCTTTTATGTATTTGAAGGTGAATTATGCTAATCATACCTTATACATTCTTTCAAAACTGACCCATCGTGTTTGCATTAAAACATCTGTAGTGCTAGTGTCACATGATAATCCAAACACAATACGTCCGGCTCTGGCATGTAGTTTTTCCAGATTGCTGAAGTGTGTCTTGTTGCATGATCCCCAAACAACTAGGCCATACATAACTGATGGCGATATAACTTTTTTATAAAAATCCTTCAATTGCTTTCAGGGGAGGAATTGCATTCGTCGAAGTAGATTCAGTTTAGACACAAAACTTTGCGACATTTGTAACGTGATCTGACCAGGTCATGTTATTGTAGACATACACTCCTAGAAGCCGTTCTGATGTTGTCCAATTAATAGTGTTATTTCCGAGATGCAAAGCCTGGACGGGTCTTATGAAGGGTTTCTGTTGCATGATCATTGCCTTGCACTTTTCCGGGTGGGGTACCAATATATTGTTGTCGCACCATTTCTTCAAGTAATGTGTAATGGGAAGAGCTCCAGCAACTCACCATTTTTTTCTTTGTGAGCACCACAGTACATCCAGCAACTGAATCTAGTACTTGACAGCAACAAGCCAACAAAAATTAGAAGTAGTTGCTACCCATACTTATTCAATCATCATGGTCCGGTTTGATGCCAGGTGAAACAGTGAATCAACCATATCAACTACGGACAGTTTTTATTCCCAGCATTACACAGAAAAACCCAACCAATAGACTATTATCTAATTTTGATAATTTCCTCTTTTCTTTGGAAACTTATTTTGTAATATTTATGCCTAGGGATTCCTCATCAGCGAAGCCCATATGTAGAGCATGCAATATTTCAGATTTTGGAACCAGTGGTGGAGAGCTCCTTGGGTTTGTCTTTTGAAAGTCAACTGAATGTTCTGACCCTTGTTGTCAACACCATGATGGAATCATGGGGTGATTTCATTCTCAAGGAGGAAATTATTTTTAGGTAAGAATTTGTAGTGTGGCCTTTTCACTGCCTTTTCAAGAATAATGTCTTGAAATGCAGACTCCACTGGGCTTGGTGTTAAAAGTAAAAAAACAGCTGTAAAACAAACAGACAGTTTCAATTATAAATGATCATTGTTAAATTTACCTCTTGTTTATCCTAGGCAGGAATTATTGAGTTGATACTCTGATCCCTTACTTGTAAATTAAATTACTCTTTAAACTGACTTAAGTTTATAACTTTCTTTTGATTCATAATTAAGTTAGATCATTGTACAATCAGTATGATATTCTTGTTGCCAATTTATTGTGGTATTAATTACAGAGGATGTCAGCAAGTGAACAATTTTTTTCCTTCTCAAATTAATTCCCCAGCTTTTATGGTGCTCAGCAGCTTGGCTTAGATTTTGGTTACGTCAAAGTATGGATCGCATCTGACTCAAGTAACCTCTCATCTGAAATTCAATCACGCCTCTTAAATTTAGATGTGTTTCAGCATCTTGATGGTGCTGTCCGTCTACTGATGTTACAGCCAAGGAAGAAGAAATCAACTGTCGCAGATATTGATGGTGAACTGGAATCTAATGTTAGTACCATGAGCAGCAGTTCAGTTCTGTCGTCATTATCAGGGGTGGATATTGATGGATATGATGTTGATGTCCTCAATGACAAGACAATTCCTAACAGGCAGAAGTGGCTGGATCTACGTCTGCGAGGGGGGAAATCTAAGAAAGGATTGTTGCCATTTTGCTTGAAGGTGCAAGAGATGAAATGAACATGTACAGTTATTTATTGTAACCAAATTGCAGCCCTATTCAACTATTAAAACAAAATGGAAGGATAATGATGACAGGCATTTATCCATTGTTCAAGCCAATGTTTTTAAACTGAATAATATGTGCAAAATTATCACTATTGATTTTTGTTAAATATGTTCACCTTTTCATTTCTGTAAAATTTTTTAATAATTGGATGAGTTGGCAGATTAATTTATGCAGCCTTAGAAATCCGGCCTTTGTGAAGGGACATGTACATATTAACAAATTGTTCACTTTTCAAGAGATTATGAAAAAGTTTAGTCTTAACTTATTTTTAAAGTGAACTGGTTAACTTGATTATACTTCCACAGTAAGATATTATAGAACCACAACTTAATGTATTTGTTGTATAATGTTTCTTATGAGTTATTTGGGAAACATGTGGAAAAAAAGGCCACCAATTCAGGAAACTACAAATGATTTCATGTTTATGAATAACATGAACATGAAAGATATTGAATATTTAAGTACTGGAAGAAAATTTGAGGAGAAGCTTGAAAAAAGTGTAATTGTGTTACTTTGTCAACAAGGAAGAATTCTTTAAGCTTAGAAATTATGCTCTGTATAAGTTGCAACTATTTAAAGCTGATATAGTTTTTTAATTTATGTAAGGTTTAATTACCGTCTATGCTAAAGTTGGATATGTTTTCACAAGTTTGAATTTTTTTTTTTTTTTTTGAAACATCAAGATCTTGCAGAAAGTAGGGGACAGGTCACATTGCAAATTACAGCAAGGGTTAGCTGTTTTACTTTGTAGACCTGTGTATTGTCTATGTGGAAGCAAGTCATGGAATCAAGAGCAATTGGTTTAACGTGATAATTAGTAAACACTGTAATGATATATTATTGTATTGAAGTTGTCAGGATTCAAATTATTACAATTAAATTATTCAAAGTACATTAAAAAAAATTAAGTTATAGAGAAATGTACTACAGCTGTTTCTTACCCTGGATTCTGTAACAACTGCCGAACTAGAGGGAGTGAGGTGTGTAGTAGCAGTTGATACTGTAAGAGTGTGATTTCTATATTTCTGCGTGCAAGTTGAAATGCATTGACCTGGGCCGGGTTGTTCAAAGGTGGGTTAAGATAACCCAGGGTTAGTGTTAGATCTAAGGGTTAGATCTAAAAGTTTTAAAAGTCAATTCAGTTTAGTTTCATTTGTCTAAAGTTTGATGATTGAATGCTCTAAAAAGAATTGGGAAAATTATCCCAAAACTGCTTTTGAACAGAGAAATATAGAAACCTGGATTAAAATTTAACCCTGGGTTTGCGCTAATCGGCCTTTGAACGACTGACTCCTGGACTACAGATTGCAACACTTGAACGATGCAGTTCTATTTTAAATATCCCCTGGAAATTGACAATGGAATGTAACTTAAATTATCTCACAAAGGGACATGGATGCTGTTGTAGTTTTGAAAACATTTAATTTGGCCTTCCATTCTATGAGAAAGCTCAAGGCTGATCATTTATAGAAGTAAAGTAGTAATGGTCAACATCTACTTTCCTCATAGGGTAGGTTATTTTGTTGTCTTCCCCAACCTGCCCCTCATCTTTAATTTAGACCAATCTCATTTTACCTCACCACTAGCTTCTCACTGATAATTCTTGGCATTATATCAACTTCATAAGAGGAATCTCCAATTTCTAGTTGGCTTTGACTTCACAAAAGGCTTTTAACACATTCTTGTGTTAATCCACACCAATACTAGGTCAACCTGTCTTCCAAAAAGAGCCTAAATGAGTGAATTGGTCTAGCTGGAATAGCAAAACACTTGTCAGAAGGAAAGTTTTCCAAGCTCTGTAACTACAGTTAACTAGCTCTGTTTCTTTTGAGTCTTTCCAATTTAATTTGCATTTTTATGCTAGCACTGTAACAACAATTTATGAAGTGTAAAATGCTAGAGCACCTATCAGTTTCTGTGTAGTAAAATGATTATAGGAGAAAGCACAACAGATCACACTTAATATCAAATACATTACGATTCAACCAAGTGAGAAATACACCACATTCATAAAGATGTTCATTACATTTATTCTGAATTAAAAACACTACATTTTAAATAATGATTTTCTGTTTAATAATGAACGTATGCAGAGCCAACAACCAATATACAACACACCAGACGAACAAGAGAAAGGTCTGAATGATTTTGCTTTTACAGAACAATGGCATGGACTTCTGATCAGATTAAGGGTTCTTAATGTATTTTGTTTGTTTTTAAAACAGGAAGTCCTGCAAAAATCAAAGAAGAATTGCTTCTACAATGTACCTCACTAAGATTAACATTCCAACCTTCCTCTGGTTCATCAAAACAATCTAATGCACTTGTTAAGCGCATGGGTCTACCTCCACGATACCAAGAATTTGCTACATGATAATGAATAACAGTTGTACCAAGGGCTCTCACAAAACAGTCAAATCCTTTCTTTACAATAATATTAAGTACAGATAAATCTTTAAAAGTTACTGGTAATTACTCTGTCAGTTACACAGTAACCAGATGCATAAAGTATCTTACAAATGGTAAAAATCTATTCACTATTTATTAGCCTACAGATTCAGCAAACTATTTTGATTACCTATGAACTAAAAAGTTACCTCTACCACTATAATTTGAAAAAAGTAAAATCAACTATGTGTAATAATATGGAAACCTGGCTTTTCTATCTTCATACAATAATTGAATGGCGTGTATTTTCATCATTTATAAACTTTGTGTGTCTATAAACTACTTTGAATATGAATGTTAACATAATCCTTGTTAAATAACCTATCATCACATTTAGAACTCTACCATTCCGCACAACTATTGTCTTACTATTCAATATCAACCCTTCAGAAAATATCAATTAATAGCAACTCTGCCCAACAGGTACAGTAAGTATATTGCCCCTCTGTAAAGAGAAGGGGTTCCATGGTGTTTATCATAAACTGTATGTCTGATCACAATAAGTATACCTGTGCAAAACCTTGTCACCACCTAAAATTTACATTCTGAACTAGATTGTTAAACTGCTCATTGTTTCTCCTGACTTTTTCAAAATCCCATAGTTTTTCCCACAAAATTTCACAACCTCAGCAATGATAACAAACAAACAATGCAAAAACATGAAAAGTAGAGTAATTAAAGTTGTCAAAAGATGAATGTACATTGTTAACACAGTCACCTCAAAATACAAACTACTGCACTTAAATACGACAAATGGCTCTTGAAGTCTAAGGTAACTACATACCATTACAGTTTATCTTCGCTTCTGAAAGATTAATGTGTACTCTTTCATAAATATGCTGCAACATCTTCCATACAAAAGGAAATAAAAAGTTCATTGCACTAACACTGAAGCAGTTTTATGTAATCAACTTTGTCTCAAGAATAACTTTGTATGAATAGAATGTAATAATAAAGATGTAAAAACAATTCACTGAGAAGTGAGTGTCCACACACTTGTGTAATTATAAAGGAGACTATATTTACTTCATGGGAAAGTGTCACAAAGTATACATGCAGGGTAAATTTACTAATCATTTAAGCTCAAAACTAAAATAAAAAGTTTCCCGGTATCGTAATGAAAGAATAAAATAAACTTGGAAACAGCAGGATTCCCATGAAACAGATTTACTCTCAGAACAGGAGTCAATAAGAATATAACCTGCATACATTTTGCAACAGAAGATTTTCAACTCACTGTGTAGATCTACTCATTGTTCAACTCTGCCAAGAACAGTTGTAGAATTTAATATTTACGATTTGACCCGGATCTCTTGCATGCACACCTTATGGCACTTGTCTTTTAATTTTGAGAACCAAATCAACCAACAAACTCTCTAGTAAAACAAGACCTTTTTCCTATGTTTTGCCCAATGCTTCACACTAACTTCACCTACAACTGAAGAAATTTACTCTTCAGAAAACAAAAGCCCTTCTTTGTTGCAAAGAAATGTTGGCAGCAAGCAACCAAAAATTAAATGCTGGAAAAAAAGATGTCACCCAAAAGCATACAAAACATACATAATGCAAGTTTCCTTAATTTTTTGTTCTTTTCTAGAACTTAACTGAAAATTATTAACAACTGAAGGTAAAACAACTATTCATCAACCGACATGTCTTTGTCTGAGTTTTGATCAGAAATAATTGACAAGCAGTTTTGTAATCACAAATCTCTTGAAATGTACACAGTCCTGTCAAATCAAACAATAAAACCTTTTCAAATCCTCAAAGAAACAAATGGCTTAGAAACCATTCGAGCGTACGGCTTTCGAATGTTTTTTTATTTCCCTAAGAATCGCACTTGGTAGTAATCATTTTAAACAGGTAATTTCGTAATATCGTTTAACCTCTGATATACCCGTTTCAATAAAATAAATAGCAACTGCAGTCCTCACCGTTCGCAATAAATAAAGCGCCATTTACTGTTTGAATACGAACGAATGATCGTTCACACGAATCAAATGATTGATCGTTCGAATAAGTCAGGATTCGAACATGCTGGAACTGTCTACAGACACACCTTGCTTTCGGAAGGCGTGTGAAATCGCAGGCATAATTAGAATAGTCCGCGGTAAAACTACAGCTTAGCGCTAGGCTGAACGTGCTATAAAACGAAACAAACATGTCACAATTGTTAATCTCCCATTCAATTAAAAATCTTTTGAACTGCAGTTTACTGCCGAACAATAGAAAATACCGCGAGAAAATCCTTCCTCGTAGAAAAGATCGTACAAAAGAGAGAGGCGATGACGTGTGAAGCACATTGGGCAAAAACATAATAAACTCATTCTGTACGAACAATCATTTGTGGCCTCCGAATTGTCAACCCTTGATGCAATTGAACAACAACTAGGTACACAATACAAAGGCCCGTCACACGTGCACAGAATATACAATGGCAGGACAGAGAGAACCCACAGCCAAAGAGAAAAACGACTGTTCCACAGAGCGAGGAAGTCGTAAGAAAAGTACCATGTTACAAATTACTAACAGTAAATAAATAAACAAAATTTTTAGCGATAGTACTTGCACGCTACGGCCTACCGAGATTTGTGAAGCAATGAGTAATTTAAGATTAAATCCGGCATCCCTCAGCTGTTTTCACTTCAATACTCTGTGGATGCTCCGCATTTGACGCTTCAACTTGGTTTTCAGTGCCATTTCTCGACACAGAAACAGTCAGAACGGAATTATTATCCACCGCATGTTGGCTTTCCGAGGTTTTCGGTTGGACAGGATCCGAATTGGGCGTCATAAGTCCTGCAGCCGCAATAGAGGCGAAATGATTGCTCATGGGCCCAGCCATTGAAGCGGGAATGCTTATGGTAGCGATAGGTGCGTTTTCCGTAGGTTTTTCCGCAGCCATGTTTGTATTGTCGGTAGAGTTAACCAGGTTATTGACACCGCTCGAAACAATAATCGGCGCTCCAGCGTACTGTGTTAACGGGATAGCATAACTCGGAGTCGCAAAAGTTGTTGCTACGGTAGATCTGACCGCCTGCACGGTTACAGAAGCTGCAGGTTGGATTGACGTTGGATTCGTTACTGCAGTTGTAACGAACGTTGGTCGTAGAATCATACTTCCTCCCGGAATAGGAGTTGTAGGTACGTACCCCACACTACCGATCGGCGCGTACGTTACCGTGCCTCCATTGTTCACTGCTTGCACTGGGACTGTCTGAATTCCTTGTGGAAAAACCTGAGCCACCTGAGAATTCTGAGTCAAGGCTGTAGAGGGAAAGGTGCCGTTTTGAGCTGCGATGGTCGCCGTCCCGTTCATTGCGATTGGAGTTTGAGCCTGTCCAGCAGGCCACCCGGGTGTCACAGTAACTCGCGTTTGAACATACGGACGTTTCATCGGTTTCTGCTTCCTTCTCGGTCGATATTTATAGTCTGGAAATTCCTCTTTGTGTCTTTTGTCTAGCCTAGCCGCCTCATCCACGTACGGTTGCTTTTCAGCCGGGGGAAGCATTCGCCAGAGTTTTCCAAGCATTTTGCTTAGTTCAGCGTTATGAACGTGTGGGTACTGTTCGGCGAGTTTTCTTCTCGCTGACTGCGCCCAAACCATGAACGAATTCATCGGCCGTTTGACGTGACTTTCCTTTTTGGGAAGTTGGACTTCAGAGTAAGGGCCAGGCATAATCTGTGTCTTCATTGGAAAAGTGGCAAGCTTTAAAGTCGCAGCATCGATTTGAGGACATTCTGCCACTACTACATTATTACTGTTGTCCGAAGACGTGTTTTCTGTTACGGTTGTTGTTGCGCTCAGCGAATTGGCATCGTTATATGAAGGCGCCGTCGTCGTTATTTTCCAATTAAAGTTCTGATCGCTCGTCTTGATCTGATCCACTTTCTCTATTTTCACTTCACCGAGTTCAGGTCCGTTTGGGATCGCGTTATTCACTCCACTCGCAACCGTAGCCATTGTTGGAGTTTGATCACAACTAGCAATATCACTGGAACACAAATGACATTTCTTGTAGTCACGTGATACAATAGGAAACACGTCATGAGGCGCAAAACGCGCGAGTTCTACAAATTGGCGAGCTCGAATTTCAGACGCAAATCTTCAACTCCGAGCCTTCTTGGTGGTCTCGCAGCGAAGTTTCAACACTGAAATAGAAACAAATGATGGAAATCCAAGCCGTCTTTGAACAATGCCGAATGGAACAATATCTGTTTTCCTTGTGGCTATTCAGCGTGTGGGGCGCTTTGTTCCGTTGAGAGCCAATAGAATTCCAGGAATTGAAAGCATGCCGTATGGCGGAGAATGGCGGAAGTTGGTAACAAAGCCGCCCTCCACAGTCTATTGTTCTCACAGACAAGTGAGACGCATTTGATCCCAATTATGCAGTGCGGTTGTCAAGGAAAATAATTGAACAAAAGCCTATTGTAATTGAATATCTTCTGATTGGCGGATTCCTCACAAAGATTGTCAATGGAAAAATATTGCTTTGAGCACTGTGTAAAAACGAAATCCAGAATTACACCAAATCTTTGCCAATATCACAAATTCAGCTCGTTAGTCTATGCCTTGCTCCACAGCTTGCGACAGAAAGGCGATTTTCTTTAATGTAGATAAAAAAGAAAAATTAAAGGAAAAAATAAGAGGTCAGTTATGATAATGTGGTATGCTAATCTTCACCGTGAGACAGATGTTTTGAGCTCGATCAAACAGAGGCAGATGACAACGTTTGGTTCGCTAATGAGAAAAAATTTATCCCCCCGAATCACGAAAAAATGGTTAATGGCTTGTAAATTTTACTAATTCAGTTCAAGCGGATGTATTTTGGAATTGCAAGAACTTCTGTAAGGCTACCTAGATATAGTACAATGTGAAATTCGTTGCAAAGGCTGTTTGCTAAGATTATATATTCCATTGCCAATCTCCAAACGCTGTGGGATACGTTCCGCTTTTGTAACAAAAGGCGACACGCACATTCGCAATTCGTAGCGATTTCCGTCAGGGGAACAGCTGAAAAAGTTTCTCTCAAATTTTATCGTATTGTTTTTATTTTTGTATATCTGACTACTCTTATAATGAACTGCATAGTTGCCACCACCGCTACCAATTTCAATGTCTCTTTTGTTGTATTTTCAACTTACATATTTGGAAAAAGCTAAGTACCCAGCGCTGTAGTCAAATAAACGCAACACAACCTAAACACCTCCGTAATAAACAACGAAAAAGGCGTTCCAATATTATCTTGTTTTTGATCGCTTTAGATGCAGGGGTAATTGAATGAATGTAAGATTTGGGATAAATTATTAACTTCGATCGTAAGTACTTCACTGAATAAAACAACAAAATGAACATATAGTTTCCAAGAAAATGAATGTATTGGCGATTGCCAAAAATCAATCCTAAACATTCAGTTAATATTCAATAGTCTGCTTTGAAAATCATGAGTCGCGTGGGCAGATGCAAAGTTCCATTTGAAAAGGAACAAGATATGTTTACACAATCAATTTTTTTTACCCGGTTCATGTCTTATGCTATAAGTAAAGAAAGCCGAGAAACGGTTCGCATCCGAGGGTTTTTACGTCTTTTTCAGCATGCTGTGGTCAACACCTTTATGCGAGGCACGAACTTTATCGCGCGTATCATTAATTCTTTACGGGGACAACTCCTGTCTGTGTAAAATGTGATACATACGAAAGGTATACACAAATTTTTCCCTGCACTGTTTATTGCCATTTTAATTGTCCATCTTTAAAAGAAACTTTCCATTAGTTGGAGTACTAAATCTATGCTTTGAACCAAAAATTCCAAATCTTTCTCTTTTCCTCTTCATATTTGAATCCATTTTTTTCCATTGCTGTTTTAAGTGCAAGTGCACAGAAAGAACTTACTGTTAAAATACCAGTCTGTTATCACATCGAGGAAGAAAGTTCAACTTAAAATTACTGACTATTGTATTACGCTGTGAGCTCTCGTTATCGGTCCCTAGCTCATCATTCCCGCCTGAGAAAAACCGCTTGGGGACTGGTACAAGTTCAGAGGCGTGGTGCCATCAGTAATGAGGACATTCTGTATTCCCAGTCCCTTAAGTAGCCCGGCCTGTTGATAAAACGGCAGAGTTTTATATTTTTTATTTAGTTCATATCTTTCCATTTGCCGTGCTGCACTGCAATGTTTACCATGCTTAAGGGAAGTTGATGGATTGAATCAATTTTTCATGTGGTTAAATTCTTTCAATTTCTTTAAGTGATGTTAATCAAGCCAGCACAGTTGACGTGAACAATTACAATACACGCTGTGACAGAAGTAACCGGGAAAAAATCAAACCAAAAACGTGTGATCCGTAACATGCGCGGGAAAAAACACCCCAAGTCAAAATCGAAGGTAAGTAAGGAAAACGCGCGAATAAAGGTATTAGAAATTAAGGAAAAAAAAAAAAAAAACACAAAACAAGCCTACACATTAAATTCATTGGCAACCAAATAATCACATCTTTAAAATTACCTCCATCCATCCTCCACTATCATTAAAACGCTCCCAGTGTACCGATACTAAGTTTAATTCTCACCTCTGACTCAGGACCCGAGCGCGCGATTTTACTGATCGTCTTTGCACTCAAGGCTTCCACCATGGCGGCAAACTTGTCAGTCTAGGATAATGATCCAATTTAAATATGAGTCATGATCACTTTAAACTTGATGTCAGAACATAAATCAACAAACCTCAATTTCTGCCAGTTCTTTGGCCTTCTGTAGTTCGAGTTCATTAAGTCGCTTCTGGTGTTGGAGTTCGCCATCTTTTTCCTGAAATAAACGAAGAGAAACGATAAGATATACACGCATTCCGTTACAGTTGTAACTGATCACTCGTCCTCCAACTCACCATTCTTTGAGATTCTAACTCGGCAAGTAGCTCAACTTCAGCAGCTTCTGCTTTGAGTTTAGCAACTAAAAACACAGAAAAAAGTCACGTTAGAACCAAACAGCTCTACACTTTCTAAATACCATTCTATAACATATAAGTAATATAAGAGGGCACTATAATACACAGCCAATCAGAGAAGAGTATTTTGTACCACGTGGCACAAACGAACCAATCATATGGTCGGATTGACCTCCAAGATGGCGATTTGATCTAGTAACTCAGGCTCTTTGTGATGCCTAGGTGTCAAGCAGTCACGCGTTAGATAAAATACTGCCAGGCTGATATGTCGAAAGGTACAAAATTCTCTTCTGTGATTGGCTGTGTACCATAGTGCTCCCCCCCCCCTTCTTGACCAAACACGATTTTACCTTCTATTGCACTTTCTCCTTCAATTAGCAAACGTTCTGCCTGAGCCTTTAGGAATAACAAGAATATTTTGTTACTGGAGTAACGTTGATTCATATCTCTAAGATTGTCGTTGAAAGGAAAAACGTAAACACCAACTTATACATCATCGAAAGAAGCATCAAAAGTAGAATCTGAAAAGTCCCTCCAAATCAGATAATGAACAATATGCATGCACAGAGTAGGTACATGTGAAGTTGGCTGACCTGTGCCTCAGATTTAGATTGTCCTGAAGATTCCACTGCGGCAGTAATCGCTCTCAGTTCAAATAGCTTCACCCGCGCATTTTCAGCTTCCTAGCAAGAAAGACATGACTTCCAGTTTCATAATTAAATGAAAATAAATCAGTCATAAATGAATCTATCAAATTATAAATGCATTTTGCACATTCAACCACGCCGACCCAATAAAGGTTTTAAAGAGAAGTAATCCCCCCTCCATTCCCTTTCTCCTGACAACTTGGTGGAGGGAAAAATGCCCAGTTATCGACAAAAGAACGTAATGAAAAAAAAACACAAGCGGTGCTATGGTAAATCTACAAACATAAATTCGATTTTTCCCTAAGAGACACAACCAGAAAGATGGACTTTTCCTACATCACCACCATATTTGTGCACATGAAAAGACAAGTATGGAACCCGGAGAAAATTTCGGATCAAGCGCCTCAACTTAACGTAATTTAGTCTTGAGAGTCGTGAGTGGAACCCAGGCCCCAATACAGGACGAGGATGAAACAACGGCTGACCCTTTCACCATCGCTGTCTCGTCTGACAACAGTTTCTAGTACATTGGTCCCTCAGTGCACCAACCTTCTCATTTGTAAGCTTCTGCCTCTCTAACAATCCTTTAGCCATCTGTTCTGTTCTTTTAGCTTCATGCTCAGCAGCCCGCTCAATGGACCTGAAATGTAAACTCTATCAGATTCATTTTCTCTAACATTATCTGCAAACTCGCACCTCATGACAAGTTTTCTAGTCTAAGTATGTTTAAAAATTTTCTGCGCGCCACTTATTTTACCTTGTTAGAAACTACTTATACAACCGTGGCGTCCACTGCCAGCGATACGAGGATAAACTTCACCAGCTCATAGCTCACATAAGTCCCACTTATAGTAAGTTTCCTTTAACCTTTTATATCTTAACATCCGTATGGATATTCTCCATACTGTTCTCTACACATTTCTCAAGGTGCTGACAAGGAGAATTTTTTAACTGTTCACAGTTTCCTTAGTTGGTGGTTAACCGCCTCCCGGTTAGCTCAATGGATAGACCGCTGGACTGTAGTGCGGGAGGTCGAGGGTTCGAGATCCGGCCGGACCAACACTCAAGGTCTTAAAATAATTGAGAAGAATTTGCTACCTTTCTATAACATCAAGAAATGGTTAGATA